TTACCACTGTCCTATTCTAGTATAATCGTCTTTGGAAGCCATATTGGTTAGTTGGAGTTAACCAAGATATTCTGGGGACAGTTGTGGCTTTTGGGTGTTGGTCTGTTCGCGGAGCTTGGCAGTTGGGTTGCAAACGTTTCATCACCAATCGTCAGTGCACTGACGATGTCACCTCGATTGGTGATGAAACGTTTGCAACCCAACTGCCAAGCTCCGCGAACAGACCAACACCCAAAAGCCACAACTGTCCCCAGAATATCTTGGTTAACTCCAACTAACCAATATGGCTTCCAAAGACGATTATACTAGAATAGGACAGTGGTAAGAGTTTGAGTCCTTCAGCCACATTGGTCGTTTTAGGAGCATGGCAGCTAGGCACCGACAGGGTATTACAGCTTAACGATTATCCATTATTTTATCACTTTTAGAAGCACCTCTCAAGAGAAGCCAGGAACACCCAGAACAAGCACATTTACTCGAAAGCCAGTCCACTGGTATTGGTGCGGAGCTCGCATGAATATGCACAACCGTGCATTTTGAAACAAAAACGGTAAAAAAACGTGGTGTATCGTTTTTACTGAGGAACAGCTTATCGCTACGAAGTACAGTTACAAGAAGTCTGAATCTAGAACGACACTGAAGCGCATGATTTGATGTCTGTTAATACCAGAACGAATACGAGAGCGTTTTTCCCCGCTTATTGTAACTCGGTGCTAGCACGTCTGAAACGCCTGAATCTAAGTACAAAACTTCATTACTTAAGGGGGAAAGTGCATCGAAAAGCGTAGCACTCATAGGACTAACTCGGGCAACTTCTGAAGGCAACACAATTTAACACTTCAAGTCAAGACACTGCGATAAGCATCAAGCTTACGTGAATTGGATAGAGAATTTTAAAATTTCCCGAAGTGGTGCAACCACTAGTGACATACTGAAGAGACCAACTGATTGTCAAGGTAGAAAATAGTCAAGAACCGAATTTTTCAAACAAAAAGAGCTAACGACTCCATCTCACGCACCTTTTAAACCTTTGAACGACGTTTTCGCAACGCCTATCTGTGACCAACCTGCTTCTATAGCACTATCAGGTCAAAAATATAGACCAAGAACGAAGTGGTTGAGACGAAACCGATCGGTTGCATTCGTTCTCTTACAATCCAGTAGCAAGAGGTTGTAGTCTTGAGCCGTCAAACATCCGCGTGCTACTATAACGTACACAAGGTTCGACGGCTTTTTCAGGCTAACGGTGGAACGTATGCAGATAGTAAATATGACAGAAATATTACATTCACGTCCGAAATAGGCTCTGGTGACAGTGTCATCACGGCGGTTCGACTGAACGAGAAAATGTGGTCACGCCGCGAGTGGTCTGTTGCCCAAGAATGAGCGATCATTACTGAATTTTGATCTACATACTGTTAGGCTGAACGTTCAGATTGCCAAAGTAAACCTGGCATCACTTCAACTATTGTTTTTTTGTAACTGGGCCTTGAGACCCCCTTCGTCGTATGAAACTGTCAAAGTTCCGTGTTTGTAATACAACTCTGCGCACAGTTGACAAGAATGGTCCTTCTGGATTATTCTTCTTTGGAACCTTGAACAACAGATAGACGTCGGTTTTTGAATACACATCGGTGTAGCGTTGTATCAGCACACACAACACCTCTCTCCCAAAGTACGACTGAACGAGAAAATGTGGTCACGCCGCGAGTGGTCTGTTGCCCAAGAATGAGCGATCATTACTGAATTTTGATCTACATACTGTTAGGCTGAACGTTCAGATTGCCAAAGTAAACCTGGCATCACTTCAACTATTGTTTTTTTGTAACTGGGCCTTGAGACCCCCTTCGTCGTATGAAACTGTCAAAGTTCCGTGTTTGTAATACAACTCTGCGCACAGTTGACAAGAATGGTCCTTCTGGATTATTCTTCTTTGGAACCTTGAACAACAGATAGACGTCGGTTTTTGAATACACATCGGTGTAGCGTTGTATCAGCACACACAACACCTCCTCTCTACCCAAAGTACTTGTGAAAGGTGCATACATTCAATAAAGACAGATGTGGCTGTGATAGACGCACAGAAAACATCCTACATCAAACATCGTAAGTGGACTTCATGAAAAGGGGTAAGGATTAGGCTATTTTCGGAGCCAGCTTGTACTGAAGAAATCCAGCTACTGGTTGAATATAAAAACATAATAAACGTGTTTGCTAGATATACCACATATTCTCAGTAAAACGCAGTCTCAAGGCTTTTCTGACAACTTCCGAAACTTCTTTGAAAACATCACTTTTCAACCGGTTCCAAGGCTTTTCCAACTAACTGGGAAAAACGTTCAAGAAATTGTGCTGCAAAATTTCGAGTATGAATCATCCCGAAGACTCCCACAAATAGGTCGGTATTAGAAGGACTTTTTGACGTATTTGTAAAAAAAACTCAGTTTTTCCTGTCGAATGATGGTCAATTTCCCGTACCGCCCGTGACCTAACGTCACTTGCAGTCAGAATTGAGCATATTGGAGTGATAGTTGTTGTGTTGTAGGAGCGGTTGTTTTAGAGTTGAACATACGAGATTAAGTACTGGTACTGAACAAAACTGAAGGGACTAACCGCTTCCGACAATTTCGGTGGGAGACGTAGAGGAGGTTGCTCTCCAGAGTCGGCGGGAGCACCGGTTGCAGGAGCAGACGGCAGAACGGCTGTAGCGGACACTGCAGAAGCACCACGCTTCCCTCCAGCAATTATGGGGGCTGGTGGTCCTGGAAATGCTGAATTACCCGGATCCGGATTCGCCTTGGGCTGTGATGGACGTGGCATGGTATTTGTGCTGGGAGTAGGTGGGTTAAAATATGGGCTGGAAGAATGTTGTCCTGTCTGGGACGATTGCTTGAACGGATTGGCCTGGCAAAGCGGTTCCGAATTTATGAGTCTACGAAGAGCAAGCTGGTGACTTTGGATAACCGCTGTTGGTAGAGATACACCGAAAATCGCACCGGGAAGTTGGGGTTGGGTGAGAGTTGAAGGAGTTGAAGACAAAGGATAGTACTCGCCAGTGATTGTAAAAAATGGCAAGTCCGGTTGTTGCACCAGCTAGAAAGGTGGAAAGCGAAATTATCATTTTTTATTCTACGTGACGGAATTGCGCTAGGAAGATTCATAATATTTGAAAATCATACGCCTAAACGCGCGGAAGAGTTGAAGTTCAAAACTCCGAGCATTCCTGAAATGCTGTGGTACACTCGTTTATTCTCGAACTTGACGAATAACCCGGTAAGGAAGTTGAGGAATGAAGAGCACTGAACGAATGGTTGATTTCATTCATGCTCATCTTGACAATACTGTTTACACCTGTAACTCATGTTTCATAATTACTGAGGCTATCAAAGGAAAGGAACAAACTTGATAGTTTGTGATCACCAAAGCGGCAGACGACAAGCCCGTCAACCGTATTCATCAGTTTTTAGGACCACACTCCTACTGAATTCAGTTGGTTCGACAGTGCACCAGACTAACTTATAGATCAAGTAACTTATTCACCTAGGCTGGCTGTGACCACAGATATGAGAGAAAAGGATAGTTTGTTACGCGCGCTCATTCTTTGTTCAGGATCCTCAACAGACGTGAACAAGACAAGATGACAATGAGTACAAGGTATGACACTTATTTTTCTGTTGGTGACACACTGTTCCTAATCGACCATTTATCGGTAGAATAGCGGGAGGAGGACGACCTTTCCAGAAACGCCTGAATATAAGAGTATATCATCTGCACCGGAGAATACATCGAACCACATCAGAAAGCCGTGAAATTCGTTCTCATGCAGGGGTATACATAGGCTATCGTACCTTAACAGTGTTTCCAAAACAATGTACTTTTATTTTATTATCTGGTCAGAACTCTTCCAGAAACCAAAACAAACAATCATTTCCGTTCTCGGGTGGTTTTAACGACCCAAACTCAAATGAAGTTGGAGCGGAACTTCACTGTCACAGTTTACTTTAAAAAGGAAAGGGACGTAATCCAATTTGTTTTACTCAACACATTTGACGGATGAGAGAAGTTAGCCATTAGGTAAAAATGTTATCAGTGTTGAAATCGTACGTGACTTCTCGGGTAAATGGTGTACTCCAGATCACAGACTGATCTGACTCCAGTTGGCGGTATAAAGTGGCACTTGAAAATAAAACGAACTTGATCACTCATTTGGTGGAAAGAAGAGTGAAGGTCCTCGAAAGAAAATCGGTTAGGCCGACCAATTTAGTTGATTAAGTCTGACTTTAACCGATTATTTTCTTTTTCTATGCAATAATTCGAATGGTCTATCAGTGTCAGAATGCATCTTCTGAAGTGGAGTGGTAATGAAGAATTCACAAGCTGATAACTGCTGACTCTCGTTCTCTGCACAATAAACACAACCAGCAAAGCAAAAACGAACTGAATGTTTCGTAAACACGACATAAAAACACACTGCAGACTAGTACAAATTATAGAACATCTGGTTTGATCGACGGTGCTCTGTCACCAAAAGCTAGTACTGTTGCTTCGGGTGCTTTTGATAAACTAAAATGGAATGCAACCAGAGCTGGATCCAGTACTCAATGGATGACCATTCCATGAGACTAGCATGGACGTATTCAAATATAACACTAACTGGACTTGTGTGCATTTATTCTGTAACAAGTGAAGCCTAAATAGGTGTATTTAAGACAGTCTTTTGATGATAGCCTTGATAATGAGCCTAGCGAGATTGGCGACTACATACCGACGTAAGAACGAGAAAAACTTTTAGCTGTAACACTCTTTTGGTACCTAGCTGTTATACCATTCGAAGGAAGCACGAAGGCTGGAATTCTGTCAGGGTGCTGGAGCCTAGACAGAAGAAGTTGCGATGCAGAGGTCGGGTTTGAACCACGGACCATTTGGTCAGTAAATTCACGCTCTATAACCACTGAGCGATCTCGTTCCCCTTATGAAAGACAGGACCTTAACACTCCTCCCAGCATAATGCAACCCTGAAATGAGAATGGAGGCAGCGAAAGAGGCTAATATAAATAGATACCGGTCGTCAATCTAGTCCCATCTAGCAATGGGAGGGTTTATATGATAGGCAAAAACTTGCGTTCGTCACTGTCTACAATGTCGTCAATAATGGTTATTAAAAACTGCAAAGCCCGTAATCCAAAATAGTTATCTTCAATGCTCCAGATTCGTCGGTGGTTCAGGCGCGAGCTTACTTACCGGAAGATCCATGGTTTGAACCCAATGGAGAACAATGCTCTTAGTTAGTGTCCGAATATTGGTAGCTCGAGTGAGCTAAGGGGCTGTTGATCAGGTGGCCGCTGATCTGTCTGCCAATACTGATAGTTAGCTTGTAAGCTTTTCGTCACCATTCAAGAACGAATCATCAGTGCGCTGTTAATGAGGCCTCCCTGAATAGCGACGAAACGTTTGCAAACCGTACAGACTTTGGATTCTGTGGACAAAAGCCCGACGTTGCCAAGCAATTGTTCAGGTTCTCTACGTCCGTGTAATGAAGCCAAATACGACCGAAGGAATTCGTCTGCATGAGCTTTCCAGAATGCCGCCATTTCCCTTAAAAACGAGGCGTTGTTTTTAATATAAAGTTGCTTTTTCAACAGCAACAGGGAATTTTTCTTTCACACATACACAGTCTGAATGACACATGTCTATCTCCTGAGAAAATAAAATTTAAGTACACAAAGAAGAAACCTCGTATAGTTGCAGCATTCGCTTGGTGAAACCTTAAAAGCAAGAAGGTTGATACAATGTCAAGTTAGTTGTTCTTTTTCAACGCATCAGAAGTAATATGGTCGACAGCCTCTATGTCAATGACAATCGAATCAATATAGTTGGGTAGAAGGTGGTGCAACGACGACCCAAAAATATGCTACGGCAACCCTTTCGGCCACCAGAAGGAAGCGCGAGGGCTGGGATATGGCCAGGTTGCCCAAGCCTAGACAGGGGAAGTTGAGAGGCAGAGGTCCGATTCGAACCACGAACCTTCCGGTCAGTAAATTCGCGCTCTAACCACTGCGATGTCTCGCTACGGCAACCATTTCCCGTCAGTTCATTTTGGTTGTGTAAACGTTAACAAGCATACAGTGTAACAAGCCCTTGTCTCCAACCGCTACACCCAGAAAATCATGGACGAAAGATAATACAGTGTGTAATCATTATTATCAGAGACAGCGACATGTGTTAAAAATGAAGCTCCGCTGTCGCACAGACACGGCTTACTTAATTATACCTACATCCTTAAAGTAAAAAAGTGGGTGGGAAACAGAGCTAGTGCTCGCCTACTGCAGGTATTCTGGGGTGCCTACACTTCTAAATGCTCAATCAGACAATCTAGAAAGGAATTAACAGCACGAAAGCTATTGACATCGGCTAGCCGCCACTTCTTGCAAGGTCTCATACCATTAGGGTCACGGAGACTCACTTAGGGAGGGCAAACCACACTAACAACACAAACCCTTCGTAATCACTTTCACACCTTTCTGTCAAGTCACTAGTTTTCCATCTCACAGTTTCGGCCATTCCGAAGAGGACGATGATTCGGTATGCATGTTAGATGGGACAAGATGCCTCAGTGGTTAAAGCACGAATTTATTGACCGGAAGGTTAGTGGTTCGAGTCCAACTTCTGCCTCTCGACCTCCCGTCTCTAGGTCAGGGTAACCTGGTGTATCCCAGCCCTCGTGCTTCCTCCCGGTGGCACAGTAGCTAGGTACCGGAAGGGTGTTGCAGCTGAACGACGAATGGTAGATGGCCAAGCTACCACAGCTGGTGGTGCTAGATGTTTTCCGCGACTAATGTTTTCTGCACAACCGATTACCCGTTTTCTAGATATCTCGTTACGAACTCGTTGATACCATCCGATACAAGCAACGGTTCTAAGACATCCGTGGTCGACTGCGCAAAAACACCTCAGATCGTCTCCCCCCAGATGCCATGTCACACAGCAACACGATATATAACTTGCTGTAACCTGACACAGCATGCTTGCGACCGCTCACTGATGTCTTTTAGTGACCAAACCGCCCTTATTTGTTCCAACCCCCAACCTGAAGGATAAAGAGATTGTCTTGGCCGGACCCCTGTCCACTAGCCAACCTGTTACGAATAACTCTGAAAAAACCTAGATGGGATTTATCTACACCGTTTGCTTTGCAGTCAATACTGTTCGGTTACTGTCTTGTTACTAACAAACTTCGCAGCTCCTATGACATCAACTTCACTGATGATCATCGAAAATTCAACGAACATCTAGGTAAATATAGACAAGATTTCAGACAGCGAGCGCATAAAGACATTCTCCGAGTCAAAGAACAGGCGATCGACTTTTATGGGTGGCGTCATTACAAGGGCTAACTAGGCCATATGATACAAAGATTCCTGTCCCTTCAACCCTCACTTAAGGCTATAATAGATCTCTTCCTCGACTAGGTTAATCCATACTCATTACCGATCACATTCAACAAAAAGAACCAGGTTGTCCTGAAACTAAACGTTCAGGTTGATTCAACCGACCCGTAGGATCGTGTCGCTTATTGAGAATAACTAGTGGAGTATCAGGTGTCCTGAAAGTTTGACACATGATAGAGCGGGAGTACAATTGACCTTTTTCAGGAACTGTAAAGTAGCTGAAGACTCGAACACCCTACTCATTCACATGGTAGCAAACAAATAACCTGGTTTTAGGATGTGAATGTATGACCTAAATGCATCCTTGCGCTTCTATACGCATTGCTATAGTCGATCCGAGACAAACCGGTGTCTTGATGAATTCACAAACAGATGGACAGAACAGGTAACAAAAGTAAGAACCTTGGTCCTGAAGCTTATGCAGAAATATAGAACAGCACAATCACCCAATTATGCAACGAGTTTTTCGAAAGCCTTGGCAACCGAACCGTAATGAGGATAATGAGAGTTCCGCTGATTTTAGTCCCATTTTTCGCAGTCACTAAAAAACATACGACCATATACCATAAGGTTATGGTTTTCAGAATTTCCGAAAACATAACACGACACCAAAAGAAACGTCATCCGAGAAACTAACCATACAGC